TAATCTTGGCAGCATCAACGCGTCCCTTGTTCAGTTTGACAGTTACGGTGAAATAACTGACAATAATTAAAGGCATTGTATAGTTATGTTGTTAATGTTATAATTTATGCCTTGGTGTACGCAGAAACTACTAGTGAGAGAAGAGAAAACGTGAATGAAAAGGTTGGCAGCACCTTATTTTTGTAAAATGTACAAAAACTAATCTAATAAACATGTCGGCGCTCAACAAAAATTTTTAAACACGTTTTTTTTTTTATATAATAATGTTTAATTAACTATTATATTAAAGTACATACGGATCCATGGCCGTTTTAGTGTGTCCACGTATCTTAACAAATAAAAATGGACGTCAAGTTGTGCAAAAAAACTTGTATTTTTTATCATAACCAATAATTATATTCAGAGTAATTGTCTTACTACGTCACAATTGAAGTATTATTGTGATTAATTTGAGAATTAAGTTCATCAATCTTCGTTATTGTGCCAAATTTGTGAGACTAATAAGTAATAATGTGCTGTATTCTAGGAAAAACAAGGTCTTCTACGAAATATTTTTATGTCGACATGCATATCAAAAATCTGAACAACTCAAGTCAAGCGATTTAGGAAAACGATGATTGATTTTCACAAACTTGCAACATGCTTGTCGTTGTGTTAGTACATAAAAAAATCACAAATGATGGTTTTGTGTACCCCCATTATAAGTGTTATTTTTGTCTAAATTCGTTTACCCTCGTTTTCTAATAACAACTTCTCTCAGTGTATGGAATAATTAATAAGGAAAATAACACATTTTCGTTCGCAGAGTCCACCAACCACAAGAATCCGCAGAAGAAATTATTTTTCATAGTCCAAGAACTTTTAACAAGTTTATATTTTACAATAAACTAAGTTACAGTCCGTATCGAAAAGAATTAACTCAATTAGCCAGCAAAAAATTGCATTACTTTTTTGTCGGTTGTTTGTAGTATACCATGTCGAATAAAGTATATAATGTACATTCATAATTGAGCAAAGTTGTTGACTATAAATGATCTATGGGTTTCAGAGTTCCGTTCGCATGTGCAGAGGCACTCCCTCTGGATTTAATTATTTTAGTGGAATTCAGCTAATGGCTCATTAATTGATCTTTGACGTGAATGCCGCCGTGCACCCGGAACTTTACACGTGTTGTTTGAGGGTTAAACACGCGCCAGCAAAAAAAGACGGCGAACGTTGAAATTTTATTAACGTAATTCGTTTACAGTTTGTTCAGTTATTTCTCCAATTGAAGTAAAGATGCGTATTTACGATTATCCATGAAATTAAATGTGTTTTTTCTCGATGGAAATCATCCTACCGCCTTCCATCCGATTGGGATCGCCATAAAAACTCCACATAATATCCGGTCGCCGTAAAATTCTCAGATGGCATGTTAACGTCCGACAAAATTAATTATTATAGCCGCCAGGGTCGTATTGGCGTACATATTAAATTACACACTGCAATTTTTTAATCCGTAAGCGTTTCCGCTGTACTGCACCAATGATTTATATTTACCTGTTAGCTTAATCCGGGAGTGCACAACATTTTGTCAGATTAATCGAAACATTCATTATGCAGAAGCAGTAACAGAAGTCGCTTGAAAAGCCGCCACAAAATCGACCGGAATACCTGGAGAGGTTTCAACGCTTTATCGCAACGTTAAACATTGACCTTAGAATTTCGTTTAATGTGATGAACCTGTTATTAAACATAAATTGAAGAAGTGTAGATGAACAAGTGCTTTTAAAAATAAAATTACACCATCAAACCATTCAGGAGTTCAGTATAGATCATCCTGTGATGTCATAACCATTCAATGTCAATGTGTTCACGGACAATTATGTTCGAGAACTATTATTCCCACGGACAATTGTTCATTTCGACAATAATTTATCGAGTGGAAAATTATTCCAAAAAAATGTCACAAAAATTCGGGCGCGAATTATTTCCGGATTTAGTTCAATTACTTTGTTACTACATATCATTTTTTACAATTTTTACTTCCCAAGCCATCCGTCGAACGGCTAGTTTCATATTTTCTCGACGTTTAATGACCTCTAGAGAATCACAAAATGGGTCCCCCGTTTCAGTGTGTCTGTCGTCTCAGTATATAACTTTGTAAAACGTTTTGTATATACAAGTAGTATTCCATGTAATCACAATAATATGCAAAATTCAGTATGAGAAGAATCTCCTCGTTCATTAAACAAATTACTAAAAGGTCCGAAATGTACACATCTTTGTGAAAATGAAATTCAACAACTTATGACTCGAAAATTACATATAATTATTTATTTAAGGCCCTTTGATTTTCATGTAGTTTTTTAACTTCCAGTGCACCGAGAAATTAGATATGAATCGAACATTTTCAGCTTAATTACTATACTTGGATGTCTGTTGCTTACGCTAACGAAACCAAACCAACATCCTGCATAATAAAATGACACGGCAGCATACTTTAGTTTTCGTTTTTCATAGTCTGCAACTTTTCCGCATTGAAATTTTCAGTTCAGTGAGTTTGAAGTGGATTACGGTAGAACGGATATTGAAGCACGGTTGAAATGATGAGGTCGTCAATGACGACGCATCTGGCCTACATCCGGCCCTAGCAACGTCCGGTTCCGCTACAAGACAGATATGTTCCGGGGAATACGAAGATAAACTGTCTTCTCTTCGGGCTGATAACACAATTTTAGGTCATTTGCCCGAATTTAGTTTCGACCGAGGTTAAACGCTACTAGAAAATGTATCACGATATTGCACACGCATGTGACGGTTATGCTATTTAACAATATCAAGACTGGAATTTCTAGTAGTACTGTTATGACCAATGATTTACGTATGTATTTTTATTGTATTTTGTCACATTGCGTTTTTATAGTGTCGTTGCCAGATGACAGGTAGTCGTGTTTTATGTTTAATATCTTTTACCAATTTTCTTCTGTACTCGTGCTTTATGAATCCACCTTGTATTATAATAGAGTCCATCGGACGACTGGATATTTTTTTTACAAATTTTATTTTGCTCCAAAGTGCGTGACAGCTCCATTTGTAGATTGCTTATATTATATTAACCTAAGAATTTCAAGTTGGTAGGCTTAAAAGTGGCCATAAGTCGTGAATGATCTTGATTTAGATATTGAAATTGGATAAGGAAGCTGTACTCAGTGTTCATCAACTGATAAACTTAATGTTATGTAATGCTCTGAAAACTATGAAGCGCAGTATAATTAACTCTTTACGTAATGCTCGCTTTTGTAATAAGCAATAAGAATTATATAATAAAAAATATACCGTAAGTAGTTTGCTTTCGTCCTTTGATAAGCTTCGAATTGCATTATTTCTTGATACCTGTACTTATTGCTCAGTCGTACTATTTGTCAATCCACCCGTAACAATCAAATAACACAATCTTTATAAAAATCAAATAGTTTGTCTTCCAAATTATTTGCTTTGATGACGGCAGACGAACTCAAGTCAATTTTAACATTTCAAAAATCCTCCGAACAATTTAAAGTTTCCGTTCGTAGGTCGCTTTTTTACCAAACTTTGAAAAACAGAGAAAACTGTTTCAACGTTTGTTGCCTTTTATACGCTTACTACACGTGTCGGGTACACATAACATATAATTTAGGCTAGGAACAGAATTCTATATCTTCTCTTATAAAACGAACGCTCTCTTCACAATTTTGGTTATAAAACCCAATCATGATTTTGCCATCTTTCGCAACTTTTTCATAACAATGAAGCAGATTCGTTCTGATTTATTCCAGTCACGATTATGTAAATAATCTCGTGACTTAAGTAGTGGGTGTTAATCACCCTTCACTTGCCTCAAAATGAACAGTTCGTGAATTTAAAACATTTTATAATTTTGTGAAATTTGCAGACCTGTGATTGCATGTTCCGAAACTCACGTTTCGAAAATAGATGTAGACACACCGAACTAGATCAGTTGACGTTTTCTCTGTTCAGTCGACAGAAAAGTCGAAAAATCATTCAAATTATAAGTAAAAATGCGAAATTGTCAATGAAGTTTTTTTTTAGTCAATATATTTATGTTTTGTTAAAATTATAATGTCAAAATGCAATACTTTTGGTCAGTTTTAAATGTGAAAGCTTACTACAAAGAAATTCTTAGCAGTTAAGCTATTAAATAATAATAGAAAATGTCATTAAATATGCAACAGGTTACCACAAAATAATTTAAATATAGACTTTGGACACGGCAAATATTTTTATTTTTTGCATGAACTACATAATGGAAACAAATCTGAAAGTTTCTAAATAGTGTAGAAAATTTATAACAACATCAGTTTGTTTTAGTAGCAACCTTAGTTTATTTGATGTAGATAAATAAGTATGGCAAATGTCACAAAAAAAAAACAAATTTTTATAACACCTTCAAATCAAAATCGTTACGAAAGTTGTTAGACGCCATAAGTCTCACTGGTAATAGACTACCTAAAAATAAACAATTTGTGCCAATTAAAAAGCATAAAGTGCTATAAATTTCTAAAATTATATTCAAAAACTTTCAAAATTGCCTCTAACATATAGCTTACGTAAAAATTGTTTGGCTTCTCATCGAAATTGTGTCAGGTGTTCTTTGAAAAGTGCTATAATAAATGAAGTTTAAAAAATTGATAATAAATAGTGCCCCAAATAAAACATTATCTATAAAAGAATTTGAACGTTTTCGTTTAGTCTGGTATTTTATCGTTTTTAAACATGGCATGATTCCGGAAGAAGCCCGTTTAAAAATATTTACGACGTCTCTTTACCTTTCTTTCGTAATAGTAGCCATAAAATCGGACTTGTACTGTTTTGTGGGTCGGGCCAGCGTTCAGCAATAAAGCTTTCTCGGGGAATTTATGGATTTAGTAAAATTGTCAAAGGTTGATGTTGCGCAATAGTCTGCATTTACATAAATTGTGGGTGTATTTTTCTCCTCAAAGTTGTTTTTATATTTTCAGATATCAAGACAGTCTATCGATGCCTGCAAGGACTATTTCCGAGACGACCTTGTGAAAACGGACTGGCAGTTAATGGTGGAACTGAAAAAACTCTTCCAAATTTTGTAACAATTACCTGTAAGATGTCACATTCTTTATACTTTCGGTTTTTAGACACTTTTAAACATCGGTATTTTATTCTGTAAACGATTAACAGCCCTGCTTCTTAGGCTTGGTTTTATTTGCAGCACGTTTAGGTAATTTCAGTGCTATGTATATTTGTACTGTTTGATGTGTAACTTCTTATCTTACTGCGCGATACAGTCTTACGAAGAAGTCAAAAGATTACCATTTTTAACCTGCCATTGTGTTTTAATTTCATCATTTTAAGTTATAATTTGTTATGGGTTTTTTTCATATAAAGTGGTTGAAATGAATGTATATTTATGATATAATAAAGTATATAATGAAAAATGACGGCTCGCTTGTTTACTGCCATCCCTCGACCAGGACGAAGACGATGGTGACACAACGGCACCAAACTGATCTACTGGACAAGTGAAATTGAATTCAAATGTTTACGTTTCCAGCAATTAAAGCGCCTCATTCATCCGCCCATAAAAGATTGTTTACAAAAACAATTTAACACTTAAACACATAAAAACAAATACTCCATAAAACCAACGTGTTAAAACCGCAAGGTCGCGTTACAATAAAACTCATCAGAGAAACAATAACAAGCAGTCTCGTTAAAAATAGCATAATAGTATGGGCCATAAAACTAAAATTAATTAGTTCGGTAATAGAACACTGCTGACATTGGCTGTTTGCAAAATCCTCATCAATGAAAGTGCACACCGAGCGCAGGCGCCAATCTTCGATCAATGGACTTATTCACGTCTTCTATGAATGATTATACTTCCGGTCATGGCAGACGCTTTATCTGCACAATTTTAACAATTACAATAACATGAGGTCTTGGGCAAGAACTCGGTCCAATAAATATTGGAACGTATACAAGGTTTATTCAGATTCAGGCACAGACCTTGCAGCTGGGATGAATGCGCAGATATTAAATCATCGAATTCTAATTCATTCCAAGTATCGTTCATACATTCAGAATAGGAATGGGTCTGAATGGGTTTTTTTAGATTTCCAACGTAACGAGGATACTGCAGTCGAGCTGACGTATGCGATAAAGTAAAAATACCTCTTTTACTGAGGAAGTGACGAGAGCATTCAAGACTCCAACCTCCATGTTTGAATGAGGGTTGGGCTTTCGGATACAGGAGAGCCCGATTTAATCTGAATATCGCAATTTTAGAAATCACTTGACATTTTGCAAGCTCATATTTGCAACTTAATCAGACATTATTAACGAGGGTATAATGATATCAAGTAGTCGTGAGGACGAGGTTTGCCACACGAGCCGGAGGCGAATGCGGTAAATCATCCGAACGATTAATCACTATCGCTGTTACAAAGCATTTACACTAGTGCTCATGTTTCACTTTTTTTAATTAAAAACTCAACGAAAGAATGTAGACAGTATTTCCCTCGATCTATGGAGCGTGACCACTATTACGTGTATGTCACAGGGCGTATTTGTTTCACACCTTTCGTTATGTAATTCGACGCCTTTTGTGGTAAGGCTTTAATTAATTTTGCGACTAATCAAACCTGTGTCCTAGAATTTTATATAACATTAATTATTGTCATGAAGTAAATGGCGAGCTGCTTGAGTACCGGTTGTAAGATATAATTATTTATCGATATAGATCGCACATACGAATTTATATCAACATAATGACGGGGGTTGATTGATAATGCCGATGGACTTTTTTGTATTCTACAGGCTGCAAAACGTACCTAGAGAACACAGGAAAGTAGATATTCACCAAAATGTCTTGCAATTCGTCAACTCAGCTTGGAAAAAACCTACAACAAGTGTAAACTGACATGACAATAGCACAATACAATTTTTCGATTGGTTGTTTGGTTACTACCATAGAATACTTTCTATGGGACCGAAAAAATGTAAATTTGTATTTTATGGCCATGTTACTCATTGTCGTGAAAAATTGTTGTGGGAACGCTTCGTATTTCGACTTTTTAAAGCGATTGCCCTCAAACAGTCGTAACTTTATGATATTTTTATGCGTCATACCACATTATATTATTTATGATCGTGTTCTGAATGTGTAGGATTAATAACACAAAGTGGAGGCGCCACCACAACTTAAATATTAGATCTTTGTAGATAAATAAGGTAACCGAATAAAAAATATTTAACCACCTGCATATATAACAGTGTTTAAAATTCAGTTGATAAGAGAAGCACATTCATTAAAGTTTCAAATAAAAAAACGCCTCAGAGAATGTTCATGTTTATTCGATGAGTGGTCCATTTTAGGCAAATGACAATAGCTTCTAGTTGAACCATTTTAGGCAATATCGCAAAAAGTCGTTAAATGTTAAATGGGGATTTAAATAATCCAGTTGTTGCCATAAGTGGCGTTAGCGAACTCGTTCGGTAATGAGTAGCAATGCGACAATGGTGCTCATACCAAAAAAGAAATGTGTGTCAACCGTGGCCAAACGCCTTTGAAATGAATAATAAAGGTTGAATTTGAAGCGTAGTTTGAAGCATATGCTCGTAGAATAGATAATGTATAAACATAAGCCATGAATGCACATAAAAATAAAGCAGCCATTCATGTAATTGATGGCATTAAATAACAAATCCATATAAAATGGCTCGATGAATGGTTTGGCGCGTCAGTAATCCATTGAATTGCAAATCTAAAACGTGGACCGGGTCTTTTAATTAAGTAGCCTGCAGTGTCGTAACAATTCATTATAGGAAGGGGATCCAAATTTGAAGCAATAAACAAAATTATAAGGTTTCATTCTTTGGCTGAATGACCACCGATTAAAAAATTGCACAACTGTTACATATTTCAAGCTAAACACCACCACAACCTAGTGGGAGGAGCTGCCTTAAGGGCAAATCAGAAGTCTTTGTTTTATTAAATAGTTAAAAGTGGGTCATTAACAATCTATAATAATAGATACAAAATACATGGATTATTATTTTTTAAAAATATGATAAATCAGTGTCTGAATTTCCAATGAACTATTTTCGACGTCAATTTTGGCTTTATCATGTTAAACAAGTAGTTAACATTACTCTGTGTAAACATAAGAATTACGTCAAGGGCAGTGAGGTTTATAAAATCGTCACACTCCTGTGGTTTGGCAAACTGTCATTGCCAAGAGTGCGACAGATAAATAAAATAAAGTAAACCAACAAAAACTTTTCGTGGACACTATACAAACGGTAAATTGTACTGTTTTAGTCTGAACGTTTCAAAAAAAATAGATAGAATAAGGAACTTTTGTTTTTTGAAATGTCAAGTTGGTAATGTAAAACAATAAAGCTGCTCAAGAACTAAATTTCGTAAAAAAATTCTTAGTGACAAGGAAAGTGTTAACACTGATCAGTGAGGTGATGCGTTAGTTATTGCCCTAGAAATACCACATTAGAGTTGTAGCTGTATGTGTGATATTCACACTATTACAAGCTGTGCGATCGTGAAAAAAGAGAATTAAATTTGGCCGTGACCTTACAAATCCATCAGTTGACAAATCTGTTCTACGAATGTTAGTATGATATCAAAATGTTTTTTTAGATGGTATTCATCCATTCACAAGTTTATGACAATTAAGTTAACCTCAAAACATGACAGAGTGACGTCAGCATGCTTTTCTAGGCGACCAAAATCTGTCAAAATCAGATGTTAATGAGAATAAAACCTAAATTCTATGCAATTAACGAAAGTGTTTGTTGCAGTTTATTAACTTGATTTTATTAATTAATATAACTTATTCTTCGATATTTCACCTTGGCAAGAGTCGTCGTGTTTTACCAGTACGGCAATATGTAGAACAAGGCGTCTTTTCACTGTTGCCATCCACCGGAAAATTGCCAGCACAAATTTGAAAGTAAAACTAACCCTGATTCCCTTTTTTCTACACATTAATTGTTAAATAGTTGAAATTGTCGTACTTTTGCTAAACAAATTTACAAATAATAAATCAAGCACACCAAGTTTACAGGTTTTTATAACTTTGTCAGGTTGCAGCCTTGTACAACAAGCACATTTCAGCATGAGAAATAGGTTAAAGATGCTACTAGATTCCAATTTTGGTAAACCTGGTCTATAGATAGAGAAACGTAAACGGGTTTTATTTTATTTTTATTTACCAAGCTCGACTTGGTAAATCCACAATTGTGAAACCATGCCTTAAACATTGTCATAGTTATCGATGGGATGTTAAGAAGATAATGAGACCTCGGCATCGATTGATACAAGCTTTTCTTTTAGGCTTTCTTAATATTGTAAAAAAATTCGACTTCCATTGTCATGTCACTGATTTAAATCTGGAAATGTTTTTTTAATTAATGATTTAATTTATATATCACCACATGCTAATACTTAAAAAATTCTGACACAAAAAGATAAACCCTTAAAAGTCTCAATTTGGTTAAGGTTTGTTGCGACGGTCGATGCCCTGTCCCCACCTTCGCGCTACACGAACTGATTCCTACACCACTACTGTGTTATTTTATGAGATGATCCCGATTAAACCAGCTTTTAAACAAAAAAAAACACAAACAGACAGACAAAGGCTTCAAACTTATAACATCCCTCTTTTTGGGTCGAAGGGTGAAAATAACAGAAGTTCATGAGTATTAAAAAAGACAAAAAATATAAAATCCTTGGCCACATTTAATTTTATGCTTAAGATGCAGTTAAATTTGAAAACTAAACTTGAGCAATAAAAAATAAAAGATTCAATTGATATAAATATAACCTCAAGTGTTAAAAACATAATAACATGAAATCTAAAATAAGAAGACTTATAGGACACATACTGATGGATGCAAAAAAAATGTCGTCATCAATAGAAAAAATAAATACGTATTCCCCAATCTGCCTGAAATTGGGTTTCTGGACTAATTTTGTCCCTCTGAATCCTATCTTAAACGAAATCCTTTTTCAAAGTCATACTTAAAAACCAAATTTTGAGTTAGACGGGCCATAACTCTTAAAAGGACAAAGATTGCGTGTTTGGTTGTTCACCGTTCGATTTCTTCAAGTTTTCTAGGCATCTGGGTGAACTTTCAACTCAATGTCCTTATCCGTTTAGAATCTACACACACATTTATCGGAAGTGGTCATTTTCGGAAGACTCGAATATAAAAAATTAAAAAAAAAATTATGGATCGCTCTGCAATTTTTTCATCCCCACATTCGTGTTCAAGAAGTTCGAATTGGGGAAGGGAACAGTTTTCAGAAAAATCGGGGGTTGTTTAAGCAAGATAGCTTGATATGCTCTAAATCGGAAAATTCTGTCCACGGAAAAACTTTGTAAAAAATAAAGA